CCCAACCCACCCTCATTTATTTTAAAAACCCGGTTTTTTTTGTGTTTTTGTTTTTGGGTTTGCTCCCCTTTTTCCCGACCCTATGCCCCGCCAAAGTGCTCGTTACGTTTTTGCCTCAGTTTTGTTTGTGTTATCGCTTTTCTTTGTTTTGTTTGTCTTACGTTGCCGCTGCTGCTTCTATTTATCTTCATGCTCTGTTGTCTTTTTTGCCATCTGTCTTTTCATGCACAAGCCTCTGTGGACGAAAAAAAACAAAAAACGAAAACAAAACCAGGCGCTGCTACGATTCAATCGGAAGAAATCAAGAATACCAATGCCTCTTCTTGGACTCTTTTGAGTAGTGAGGGTAGATACGGTTCCGGTATATTATTATACGATTATCTTTATTGTCAGGCCATGTGTAAATTATATGGCCAAGATGATCATACATTGTTGAGGAGAAAAGTTGTCGTCTTAGGCTAGTGGACTTCTTGGACAGTTGAGTGTCATTGTGATATAGAAAAAAGTAATGCAATGGGGGAGAGTGGCATAATGTGGTTGTCTGTAAAGGTAATTGTCTTGGACAGATGATCGTCAGAATAGGTTGGACTGTACTTTTGCTTCGATGGAATGTTAAACTTACGAAAATAAGCTAGGAACGCGGCGAGTGCAAAGTTTGATGGCTCCATTGTCGAAAGTGACAGGCACCAACACTAGACTATGCTTTGAATAGTGTTTTGAGTGCTTGTTGTCGAACGACGCATCTACCCATATTGCTAAATCAAACCTAGAAGAGTATGGTACCAAGGGATTAATAGACGAGTGTGGTTCGAAGGGATAACTAAAAGAGAGTGGCTCGAAGGAATGAACACGAAGGGATAATAACTTGAAGAGTGTGGTTTCAAGGGATAACTAGAAGAGTTCAGTGCTATGGAGTAACTAAAAGAATGTGGTTCGAGGGGATAAATAGAAGGCTGTGGCTCGAAAGGATAGAAGATATTGGTACGAATTGTTCTCGTTTTTACACGTATAAAAAATGATTATTTTCTCTCGTTCCCGATGATCTGCGGTGGGGGAGGGGAGAAGAGACCTATGAAGGCTTGATCTTCAAAATGAACCGTTTGTCTGCTAGGTCAGTTGCCTTTGACAAAAAGTAACTGAAAGCAAAGACAGTCCCTGAAATACCCAGCAGAGGTGTGTGGTGGGAGGGG